TTTTTTTTTTTTTATTGTTTTATTTTTGAGGTACTTATTCATTCTTGATATAGGTCAAGTTTTCAGGGTAATTGTCTTCAAGCCGATGATATCAAACAGCGCCCGGTTGCACAATGTGGTAACCCCTCAGAGTAATTTCTCCTCGAAACTTCGAAAATCAATGTACATACAAACTTTTTCTTAGTTGCTTCTATTTCAGGTAGTTCTCCCCCAACAAACGCTCATTCGGAGGTAATGTCAAAGCCATTACCTACTAAGAATGAATCAAAACATCAAGATAGTTCGTCTAAACCCGCATGGGTTTTGGCCCTTGAAATAGCTACTGGAATTACAGTGGGTCTTGTATTTGTCATCGTTCTCTTTACTGCCGTCCGAAAGTTTAAGAGGAAACCTTCGAACATCATGAGATGGAAGAAGTCCTCGAGTGTAATTGCAAAGGACAACTTGACGCTTTATATAGGTTCGTTAAATTTTGAAAAATAAATAGTTTCTTGTGAAATTTTAAGCCTTTTAAAGAGAAGACTAGCATTTCAATCAATTGATAATTAGGCTATGTTTGTAGCTTATTTGATTTACTTCTAAGCTTTATGTATTCAAATAAGCTTTGTTTGGTAGGACTAGCTTTTTTAAAAAGCTCGAGCTTAGCTCATAAGTTTTTTGGGTAGTTTTTCAAATAAGCTTGTTGAAATACCAAACACTCTTATCATATAAGCTAGTTTTTCATCTATAATTCATAAGCTATAAGCTCGAAAATCGCTTATAAGCTATCAACTAGCTTATGAGCTAATTTTACCAAAAATAGCCTTAAACTAATGTTGTTTATATGAACTAAGCGAAACGAGGTTTTTGCAGATTCCGAATTACTCAAGGACGTGACGAGATACAGCAGAAAAGAACTCGAAGTAGCCTGTGAGGATTTCAGCAACATCATCGGATCATCCCCCGATAGCCTCGTTTATAAAGGCACAACAAAAGGAAGATCTGAAATTGCGGTTATATCACTTGGCTTGAAAGACGAGCAGTGGACTGGCTACCTCGAGCTGTATTTTCAGAAAGAGGTAATTAATCTTTGTGTTGTGTTGATATAAATGTTTATTTTTTACACACATGAAAAATAAATCCATAGATTCCAGGTGGCTTGTTTGGCGAGACTAAATCATGAGAATGTGGGAAAGTTGCTTGGTTATTGCAGAGAAAGCAGCCCGTTTACTAGGATGCTGGTGTTCGAGTACGCATCCAACGGGACACTCTACGAGCACCTTCATTGTATGTTTTGTTTTTTTGTCATTCTTTTTTATTTTTTAGTTTTACAAACCACCTGATGCAATTGTAATGAAAACACTGAAAAAAATAGATGGAGAGGCGTGTCAGTTCTCTTGGACACGGCGCATGAAGATTATTGTTGGGATTGCTCGGGGTTTAAGATACCTTCACATGGAACTAGACCCGCCTTTTACAATATCTGAGCTGAATTCAAGCTCCATTTATCTTACTGAAGATTTTTCTCCCAAGGTGAGCCGAATATATAACTTATCCATTTATACAAAAAACACAAACTTCACATGTATAAATTGGTCTATTTCGCCATTATAGATTCTATTGGCCTCTTCTGGGTCTAGTGATTGAGAATTTTATGGTTTATAGTTGGTAAACCTAGCTGATAAATTAGTTGGTAGATGATAAGCTTAAAAGCTAAGTGAATTTGGAGCTTATAGCTGATAGCTTATGATATATGGCTGAAAATCTAGTTTATATGATAAAAGTGTTTGGTAAAATTAGCTGATAAGTTAGCTGGAATAAAAATTTCAACGAACTTATTTGAAAAGCTACTCAAAAAAGCTTATGAGATAAGCTCGAGCTTTTTGGAAAAGCTCGTTTGATCAAACGAAGGTTCTTTGAATACATGAAGCTTATAAGATAACCAAATAAGCTATAAGCTAGCTTATTTGATTACCAAACATACCCGTGGTTTTTGGTGGACATATTTCTTACAAGTAGATTACTTTCGACTCACCTTTTGCAGCTGGTCGATTTTGAATGCTGGAAGACAATTCTTTCAAGATCAGAAAAGAGCTCCGGCGCCTTAAGCAATGAAGGTTCGGTTTGTGTAATCCCGAATTCTCTTGAAGAACGTAATCTCGATATTCAGGGCAACACTTACTCGTTCGGCATTCTTTTACTCGAGATCATCAGTGGTCGATTGCCATACAGCCAAGAAAAAGGGTGCTTGCTCGATTGGGTCTGTACATTACGAAATTCTTTTACCTTATAACAGATATAAATAAATAAATAAATGTAATTAAGTTTCATTTTGCAGGCCAAGGAATATTTGGATTTGCCGGAAGTCATATCGTATGTGGTGGATCCCGAGCTAAAACATTTCAGGTACGAAGATCTGAAGGTCATATGTGAGGTCGTGGGCCTGTGCATATACCCAAAAACGAGCACACGAACATCCATGCGGGACTTGTGCTTCATGCTGGAGAACGGCATAGACACGTCTGTGTCTGCCGATATTAGGGCATCCTCGCTGGCTTGGGCAGAGCTGGCGCTTTCGTCGTAAGATACTATGTAAATAAGAAATTATAGGAAGGTAGCATCGCGTTTTTTTTAAGTTAAGGTATCTAAGTTCGTGTAAATATCGAGTGTGCTGTGAGAAACAACGGTGTTTCTTGTCCGGCCGGTCGACCGATTTTTTGAGTGATCAACTGTTGTTGACTTTTTATTTGTTAAGCTTTGTTTGTGCAGTATTGGAGTGTAGCTGAAACTTTTAACTTTGGTTATTATATATCTCATGTCATGTTGTTAAATTGAACGAGTCTGGTTGGATTCATCTCGTTGAGGCTCGAGTTTGGCTCGGCTTGTTTCATAAACGAGCCAAGCTCGATTTTATTTAAAGTTCGTTTGGTTCGACTTGTTGGGGCCCAAAAAGACAAATTTTATATAATTTTCTATAGTTAGGCTCGTTAAGGCTCGAGATTGACTCGTTAAGATTCTCACAAAACCTAGGACCCTCAACTTGTTCAAAAGCTTGTCCCAAAGTTCTGACAAAAGCTCCAACTTATCCAAATTCAGATAACTTTGCACAAAAACATATGAAGGCACATGGCACCATAAATGAATCAATCTGACAAAAGCCAAAGCAGGTGGTGGGGTTAAAGGCTGGGTTTGAGGGTGATGTTATGTAAATGGCACGAGTCGAATCGAGCATGAACCTTATTAGTGTATATTGAATTTTTCTTTTTTCTCCAGTGCTTTAGTTCAATCCCGAGGTCAATAAGCCATGTAAAGTAGTGTTCGACTCGATTCGACTCGTGAAAAATAACAAATAATGCTTAAGCTCGACTCGATTCTCAATATGGTTCGAGTTCGACTCGAAATATTAACACCTAAATTTTAATAGTAAGGGTAAGTTTTTTATTCTAAATACTAAATAGACGATTTTATCATTGGTGTTCTACTATAGAATAATTAAACTATATAAAGTATAGATGTAAATACAAATTCGAATGACTCGTCGAGCTTATAAGTCTTTTGAAATGATGCTCGAAGCTCGACTCGTCTGCTGAATTGAATTACTCTAGCTCACTCGAGCACCCACGAACTGCTCATTGGATGATCGATTCATTTGCAGCCATAAAATTAGGTCCTTTTACACGAAATGTTCATATATTTGATGAGGGCACTGCGTAAGTGCGTAGGATTGAATTTGACCTCGAATATGTTGTTTAATAATTTTTTAACAATTAAATTGGAGAGTGTTTAAAGTAAAATAATAAAAATTCAGTAAATGAACATGAAGTTAGTTTGTTAAACAATTTTAAATGTATCAATCAACGAAATAAAATATAAATTGAAATTAGAAAAATTTCCCTGAGTCACTTCCATGTACTCGCCGCAGCAGATCAGAACCCAAATTCAAAAAATTTCCCTAATAATTTTCACTCGCCATTTCCAATTGCTTCACACTGCAAAAACCCTCGTTCTCTCTCTAGAATCCTCTCTCTCTCTCTCTCTCTCTCTAACCTCTGCGAAAATGCGTGAAATCCTCCACATCCAGGGCGGTCAGTGTGGCAATCAGATCGGCGCCAAGTTCTGGGAGGTCGTCTGCACGGAGCACGGCATCGACTCCACCGGCCGCTACAATGGCGACTCAGATCTGCAGCTCGAGCGAGTGAATGTCTACTACAACGAGGCTAGCTGCGGCCGGTTCGTCCCGCGGGCCGTCCTCATGGACCTGGAGCCCGGGACCATGGACAGCGTCCGGTCCGGGCCATTCGGTCAGATCTTCCGGCCCGACAACTTCGTCTTTGGGCAGTCGGGCGCCGGGAATAACTGGGCGAAAGGGCACTACACCGAGGGGGCTGAGCTCATAGACTCCGTGCTTGATGTTGTCAGGAAGGAAGCTGAGAACTGCGACTGCCTCCAGGGTATGCAGTTGATTTTTCTCTTCTGCCCTAATTTATGTTGCTAGGGTTTGTTTTTTTGCAGGCGTTGATTTACGAAGTGTTAATGCTATCTGGAAACATTTATTTCTCCGTTACTGAAGTTCTGCGGAACAGTGTAGAAACTGGTATTTATGTGGTTGATGAGATTGCAGAAGTCTCCTGGTGTGCGTGGCTAGTTTGGTGTTTTTCTGTGTTAGTTTCAACTGTACTGTTCAATGTTTTATGAAGTTTGGCTTAATCTCATCGTCTTTATTGATATGTGGCTAGTTTGGTGTTTTTCTGTGTTTGTTTCAGCTGTAATGTTAAATGTTTTATCAAGCTTGGGATAAATCTCGTCAACTCTCTCACAGTGTAGCTAGTTTGATGTTTTTTCTGTATTTGTTTAATTGTACAGTTGAGTTAACTGTTTATGAAGTTTGGGGTATTTTATGAAGTGGTAGTGATACATTTGTTGTTGTCGCACGTATATGTGTGCAGCATATTTTAATTGTTGAGTTCTTAAGTGTTGTGCTTCGATATGACTTTCTACTGAATGTGTCTTTGGTGCTTCATATGACCTCTGGGAGAAAGTTTTGTGTAATACACGTAAAAATCATTCAATTTGTTATGGAATTATCAATGTGATTTTCCTAGTTAATGTCAAGTGTGTTTGTGTTCATCCTATTTCCCCTTGCAGCTTCATGAATTATGAGTCAATTGGAATAACCTACAGAGTCCTTGCGCGAAATCTACTTGCAGTTTTAGTCTGTATAGATTGAAAACACAATTCCAGATCAACAAATCTCTATGCTGGTTTCACTTATTACTGATCTGTTTTATGCTTCCAGGATTTCAAGTTTGCCACTCGTTGGGAGGTGGCACAGGATCTGGCATGGGAACACTGCTGATATCCAAGATAAGAGAAGAATACCCTGATCGGATGATGCTGACTTTCTCCGTATTCCCTTCACCCAAGGTCTCTGATACTGTGGTGGAGCCCTACAATGCAACCCTCTCTGTGCACCAGCTCGTTGAGAATGCCGATGAGTGCATGGTCCTCGACAATGAGGCTCTTTATGATATCTGTTTCCGAACTCTCAAGCTCACTACCCCTAGTTGTAAGCCTTCATATTCCCGTTTTAACACTTCGTATATATTATATTCCTCGTGATTTCTTGAAAATATTCTAACAAATAAAACAAAAAGACCACTCGGTAAAGTTAGCAACTTTCTTTATAAACAAATTGATTTCTCTTGATCCAGTTGGAGATTTGAACCACTTAATATCAGCAACAATGAGCGGCGTGACCTGCTGCCTCCGTTTTCCCGGCCAGCTCAACTCCGACCTCCGGAAGCTAGCTGTCAACCTTATCCCCTTCCCTCGACTGCACTTTTTCATGGTCGGTTTTGCCCCCCTCACGTCCCGTGGGTCCCAGCAGTACCGAGCCCTGACC